TGGCGAAAGTCAAATAAGAAAATCGGCATGGCAGAATTCTTTTTTCTCTTTTTTTTTCTATTGACACTGACTTTTCCTTCTAGACACTGAGCAGACTCGATCTTCACTCTAATAGAATCAAAGATACAGGAGCAGAACAATTGGCTTTGGCCCTACAGTATAACACAGTAATGAAATTTTTCTTCTTATTTCATTTTCGCTTATCTCTAATGATGTGCATAGGCACTCAAACAACTGCCATTTGCTGATAACAAAATTTCTCACAGATTACGACGTCATCTCGATCAACCAGATGAAAGATTTCACTTTTGGAAATATACTGATTATGTTTACTCTGATTAACATTTGATGATTTTCTTCACTTTTTTTGAAAAAACAAAAATAAAGAACTAACCGATTCTTTGAATACCTATGATGTCTTCTTATTATACCAAAGAATAACGACTAGTCACTCAATCTGCTACACTTAAAGTACTCGTCAAACAATTTTTCACCATCGAATTTTAGCCACTACAAAAGTTGCTGCTATGGAAACTTGAGTGTAAATGATTCTCGATCAAGGTAGATCAGCGACGAAGCTCATATTCTAGGGTGGGATGAGTGTGAGTAAGGATGTGAGAGAAGAAGAGCCCTTAGCAGCTACACCCATACACACACACACCCTCAAGATCGTTTTTATCTTGTCGTGTGGTATGAATGTATAGAAATATCAGACAGAACTAATTTACGTATTATGAACTCATCTGGTCAGCATTTTAACAGTTGTTACAAAATGCAAGAGAAAATAATTTAATGCAAAAAGATTACTAACTTATCTATCTTAAAGATTATGAGCTCAATAGTTTTATTTTGTTCTGAAATTCAATGGTCATGTCTATGCAGAGATGTGGGTGTGCATGTTCTCTCTAGATTAATAAAGGACATCCACAGCCACAACCTCACTCGCCAAGCTCCACACTCACACACACACTCACACCCACACCCACACCCATACCCACCCTTTTGAAAATGTGATGTATGAATCTGGCCACTATATTTGTTCTTCATCTACACTTTCACCCACTATTGCTCACGTTCTCCCACACGCACACTCTCTTTTAAACTACACGAACAATTAGATATGCGTCCACAATCATTATGCCTTACCTTTTCATTGTCCATCTCGTTGATGACACTATATATATATACTCTTTTCGTTATTTTAAATAGCCTGTTGGGTGACCGTTCCCTTCTTACTTAACGCAGAGAAACTCTACCTTGTTCAGATACAATAATTATGTATCGTAAAGGTCTTTTTCTACAATACATGTCTCTTGATATGAATTGCTTACCTTACCGATGGGTATTACTATTCATTTCTGTTCTCAACAAGTTCAGAGTTTCTTTGTAAGCACGCGCATTTAAAACAATTCTTTTCTCATTTAAAAAGTTAATCTTTTTGCTTTCGCAAAATAGAATTCAGGACAATACAATTTATTATTTATTTTTTCAATCTTCGAGGTTATTTCTACATTTTCGAAGATCCGGATGATTTGAAGGTGGCAATTGTTCTTCAATTTCTATAGCATGTTCATTAAATGTACGGGCTTTTGAATTATTACCCATGCTGTGATGCACATTACCAATATCGTTGTAGGACCTAGCTACATCAGGATAATTGGAAGGAAGTGATTGTTGTTGAATTTCAAGAGCTTTTTCGTAAAATAAAACTGCTTCTGAATAGTTACCCATGTGGTTATGCACGTCACCAATGTTATTGTAAGACTTAGCCAAATAAGGATGATTGGAAGAAAACGATTGCTGCCAAATTCCAAGGGCTTTTTCATAATAAGAAAGTGCTTTCGGATAATTACTCATGTGTTTATGTATATTACCAATTTTGTTATAGGATACAGCCAAATCAGGATGATTGGGAGGGAGTGATTGTTGTCGAATTTCAAGAGCATTTTCATAAGACGAAAGTGCTTTCGGATAATTATCCATGCTGTTATGCGCTGACCCAATGTTGTCGAATGACATAGTCAGATCTAAATGATTGGTAGGAAGTGATTGTTGTCGGATTTCAAGGGCTTTTTCATAATAAGAAAGTGCTGTGGGACAATTATCCATGTTCTCATACACTACACCAATGTTGTTATAACATTTGGCCAAATCAAGATGATTAGGAGGAAGTAATTGTTCTCGAATTGCAAGGGCTTTTTCATAATAAGGAAGTGCTTCTGGATACTTACCCATGCTGGCATGCGCTGACCCAATGTTGTTGTAGCACATAGCCAGATCAGGATGATTAGGAGGAAATGATTGCAGCCAAATTTGAAGAGCTTTATCATAATAAGAAAATGCTTTCGGATAGTTACCCATGCGGGAATACGCTAAGCCAATGTTGTTGTAGGTCATAGTCAGATCTGGATGATTGGGAGGAAGTGATTGTTGACTGATCTCAAGAGCTTTTTCATAATAAGAAAGTGCTTTCGGATAATTACCCATGTGGTTATGCGCATTACCAATGTTGTTGTAGGATTTAGCCAAATGAGGATGATTGTGAGGAAGTGATTGTTCTCGAATTGCAAGGGCTTTTTCATGAGATGAAAGTGCTTCTGGGTAACTACCCATGGTATCATGCACATTACCAATGTTGTTGTAGAACATAGCTAGATCAGGATGATTGGGAGGAAGTGATCGCTGCCAAATTTGAAGAGCTTTTTTATAATAAGAAAGTGCTTTCGGATAATTACCCATGTGGGAATTCACATTACCAATGTAGTTATAGGATTTAGCCAAATCAGGATGATTGGGAGGAAGTGATTGTTCTCGAATTGCAAGGGCTTTTTCATGAGT